TCATATTTTTTAAGTAGTGTAGTCCTTTAACTAATAATGTACAACGACGAGTTAGTCACTTTGTGAAAGTCTGTAAAATATTTAGGTATTTCTCAATATCTTAATAGAGACACGCCATTGCAGCATGATTGCGGTTTAAAAAAAAAAAAAAAAAAAAAAAAAAAAAAAAGTATAGTTATAAGTTAAAAAAAATAATATTGTAAAATATATATTAGATATATAAAAATAAAAAATAAAATAAAAAATTTTAATATGATCAATTTTATATTTTTATTAATAAAAAAATTAAAAATTTATTTAATTTATTTAAAAAATTTTATTATTTTTTATAATATAATAAAACTAAATTTAATTTATACAATTTTTTTTTATTTTTTTATATAATATAATAAAATAAATCTAAATTTATATTTGTTTTTTTTTTAAAAATAAAGATTAATAAAAATTTTTTTTATATATTTATTTGATAAAATTAATATTATTAATAAAATTATATTTAAGAATTATATTTTTAAATATTATTAATTTATATAAAAAAGTTTTATATTAGAAATAAATATAAATTAAAAAAATTTTTTTTTTATATTAAATTATTATTAAAAAATTTTTTTATATAATTTTTAAATTTTAATTAATAAAATTTAATTTTTATATTTTTTATTTAATCATACTTAGAATTTTATATAAAATAAATCAAGAAAATTAATTATTATTATCATATTTTAATATTAATTTATATTTTTCAATATAATTAATTATTACTATATTTTAATATTAATTTATATTTTTTAATATAATCAATTTTAATTTATACTTTATTAATTATTATTATTATTTTATTTTTAAAATTTCAATATACTATATAATAGTTTTATTTATATATAACACATATATTTTTATCAATTATTTATCTATTTAAATAATATTATATTTAAATAATTAGAACATTATATTATAATATTTTAATATTTAGTATTAAAATCATTTAAAAATTTTAATGTTTACTTGAAAATCATATGTATAGTATAAAAAAATTTTCCCTAGATACATTTTTAGTTAGCTCCTTATTTAATGTTATTCAAACAAATCAAGATAATGATCTGTTTTTCATATTTAACTGTTTGGTGCTACGTATCTGTGCAACTTGTCACATATATATATATATATAAACCCTCGAATGATGTTTCGTTAATGACGACCACAAAATGGGCAAACGAAAAGTAGGGCAAAATTTTCACTTTATAACAGTTGCACCTAACTACACAAATCAAGATGTTACCGAGGCCCCTAACTTATTTGTAGAACATATGCGAATCGTTGATAAAGAGGCAAGAAGAATAAAATCTAAATATCTAAACATGGATATTACTCATATTACATCCGCAACATGGACAATAATAAAAAAATCAGAGATAGAAGACGCACAACTCTTAATAAACCACTACAAATATAATCAAACTGAGACTAGTATACTCGTTATAAATGCAATCATTAATATTCTTTCTAGTGAAAACGGAATACTCAGTGCTTTCTCGGAAGAAGACAAGAATTTATTAATAATGAATGTAAAGAATAAAATGGATGAAGCATACAGCAATAATAGTAACAAAAGACAACGGAGCGAAAATGAAATAAACTATAATCCTTCTTCTATACAATACAAACGACCCAAAACAACCGCTTTCACACAGCAGATATCAATACGTACTCCGAATAACTCGTACCCTACAAAATTCGAACAAGACTATAAAAGTATAGTTAACGCAGTAGAGCATCTCAACTCACCAGGCTTAACTTTGTTTTGCGAACTCATGATTGACTCAACAAATGTTAAAAAAGCTTGGGAATCTGTAACAACTAATAATACCAGTATCAAAAATTATTACGAAAATCAAGACCATCCATATAATGAAAAAATTCTAAAAGATACTATCCGAGCTCTCATAGATCATAAAGAAATAATAACAAGAGCTTATGATCTAGAAAATTATGTAGATTCAATTGTAGATGCTATCTCTCAATCATCAGAATCAGAATCGTTGATGACCGAGTCCGCTTCTGCACTTCAAGATCAACAACAATCAAATGAAAGAACAAGTAACTTTCTTCCTTTAAATGAACGAACCTATGCATGTCTACCTCCTATAATTACCTATTCAACCTCCCCTAACTCGAGTTTTGTAAATTTACCATCTGTATCCACAAGCACTGACGATGTTCTATCGCCAACTCCTATATCATTCTATCCGACCTCATCGTCAACACTGACGTCAATTTTAAACCCAACACAAAAGGCAAACGAAAGAGAACCAAAACAACCAAGTAATTCAGACGGCGAAACAGTGGATATAGAAGGAGCTATTAAACTAATAACAGAATTAGATGAAGAAGATAAACAAACTTTTCGAGAATTAAGCAGGTTAAGAAAAGTAAGGAGTGAATACGAAAGAGTACGAGATGAGATAAAACAAGCATTAAAAAATGCAGAAACAAAGGCGCTTGAAACTGCTCAACAGACCAGTATTTTAGAACAAAAACTCGAAAGAAATGCGGAAAAACGTGACGAAACCAAACAAAAAATAGAAAAAACCATAGCAAAAGAAAAAAGAAAATTAGAAGAAGACAAAAAAAAAATAGAAGAACTTGAAAATAAATTAAAAAATTTATGTTAAAATCGTTAAATAAGCCGTCTTTCTATTATGTAAAATTATGATTATATCTATACCATGGAAACATACGTAAGATTGTTATTAAGATAAATAAAGCTATTTTTACTAAGCAGTGCTGAGTAATTTGATTTCCGAAATACTTGTTTCGTGTATTTTGTGAATTTGCCAAGGCATCAGCCTTTCTATTTGATTTAATCACTTTTTTAACCTTTTTGAACCACTCTTTCAAATTCCTCTTAGATAGAGAGAATTAAACGACTGTTATTGTTTACCATAATATCGTGATATTTATTAATATAAGTAAAAAATTTAACTCATATTTGCTTGAGTTGTATTAGTTTCAGTATTAGGGAGATATACTGTATTTAAAGAGGTTTATTTATTAAAATTATAATATTTTACAGTATATAAAAATAATTTACTGTATAACTTAATGAAAATATATACGGTAACATATAAGAATACCAATTATTATTGATTTATAATGATATCGTTATGGTTTGTTTTTATCGAGATATTAATGAAATATCCTTATTATCACATTGACTTTTACATGGTAACTAACTTATATTTGTATATTATTAATATAAAAACACTTAAAATTCTTTTATCTGTTTATACAACAATATCAAATTTTTTTGAACAGCAATATCAAAGAATTAATGAATCGGATTCATGGATTATATTCTTAATTGATATTCTCCTTCATAGAAATCAATAAAGTATGATGTATTTTGAAACTTTATTAAAATAAAGTTTATATTTTAAAACAATCAAAATAAATATACACTCATATTGTCTAAAGATTTGTATATTATTAAAAATATAAAGAGTCACACACACATATCCATAATACATCTGGACTTCCTATAGATCATCAAAATTCTCATAGAAAAGAAGTTAAAAGTTCCAACCAGAATGATTCAAAAGCTGCAATAAATTGCAAGAATATTAGCAATGGAGAATAACATCCAGTTCTATATAGATGGCTCCTTTACAAGATGGCTGACTAAAAGCAGGATGGGAGTCAAATGGGTGGCCCAAACATAGTCAGGTCAGGAAATTATGACCTTCCAGGTAGAAACACAGGACACACCATCCTTCACTAGAGCAGAACTGATAGCAATACTTATAGCAATCAGTACAGTCAGCCTTAATAAAAAATTAATATCCTCACAGATAGCCAAGATGTCAACAATGCAATAAGCAAAATATTGTAAAAGGACCAAATCAAAAAACAGAAATTAGTAAGTCCAAACAAGTTGCTGATCAATACAATCTAATAAATCATTACAATACAGCAAATCAAAGTCCAAGTGACAAAAATAAAAGGTCACTTAGGAGACAAAGAAAATAAACAAGCTAACAAATTAACAGTTACCACAATTACAGACAGTTTCAAGAATATTATAAAGATATAAGAACTCTAGTTCACAAGTAGCAATATGACATTGAGATAGGATCAGTTCTTTGTGAACTTATCCTTTAAAACAATAGATAAGATTCTGTTAAAAACTAAGAAGATCAATAAATGAAGAATACTATAATGAAACCAAACATGGTTAACAGAACAGAAAACTCAAGAAATAAACTAGAAACTAACCATGCAGGTCCTAATGTCATCCAAAATCACATCTCTCCAAATCAATCAAGACAATTATAGGGACAAAACTTTTTAATGGAAGATATAGTTCAATGAACACCCCACATTGACAAATATGAACAAATGCAAACCATGGATATATAATGATCCAGGTAGCAGAAGAAATTATAGAAAATGAAACAGAAACCAAAACTGCAGTAAAGAAAGCAACTGCACAACTTTGACAGAAAAAAAGAAGCATCTGGAAGTTAAGATGTAATCTAGTAATAAAATGGGAAAAATTACAAGACATATTCAAGAAAATGAAGTGAAAATGAAAAAGGGATAACACCAAACCAACAGATAGAAGAACACTTTTGAACAAAGAAAAAATGATAGATAACAGGGAATATTTATTTATAGAATTAACAAATTATAATATGGGAAATATATTACAGAACAGTTTCAATATTAACTCTCTCTTCCATATAAATATCAGTGTTAGTAGAGTCATGACATGCTAATATTCATCCAAAAGTGAACTGCAGCAAGTTATAGGATTTGTAAAATACTGAGTTATTAGTTTTTTCTCCTATTATAAATATATTTTCTCATAATTCAATTTGTATACATAAAATAATATTAATAATTAAATAAAAACTACATGGCATGACTTTGCCAGCTTAAAAAAATAATATTATTATTATTACTTTGATCAATTCCTTCTTCTATATAGTATGGGTCTATAGTATCAAAATATGTAATAACTGTATTCTGTCTGTTATGAAAACAATTGTTGATTAGATTTGTAATTTGGAATAGAATCTTTATATGATGCATTGCTGTTATAAGCCTCTTTATGTTTATAGTATTTTATGTTTTACTTATATCCTGAAATAATATGTAACAGACTTGTATGTATTTTTGGTATTCTCTAGTATTTGATTTATAATAGTTATTAGTTCTCTAATACTGTAGATGAGAAGTGCTACTCAATTATGGAGAGATAGTATAGGGTGTTTAGTTAGAACTTTGGCTAAATAGTTTGCAAGGATTTTGATAAAGATTTTTTTAATTGATTCAAATAAAGTTATAGAATATATGATATTAATTTATGTTATCATTTTTTTGGTTTTGGAATAGAGTAAATAGTCTCAACTTTCCATTCTTTCAGAATTGACTCTTTGTTTAAAAGAATATTAAAGAAGGTGAAGATTTCAATAAAATTTTTGCTTATATATTTGTAAATTATTTAAGATATTTATAATGTCTCAGAGTGGACATGTTACTGGTTTTATTTAAATTTTCAAGTAATTCAAGCAATAATATAAAGGTAATAGTCTCTTTATATCAGATGGGATTGATATTTGTCTTTGATTCATACTCTTGTTGCCAGATGATATCTTTCTATTTGTGAATCTGTCTTTATTTAATCTATTGTTTGAAATGTATTCAGATTTGTTTGTTATTTCTATGGAGTTCATAATAAGGACTTTTTTAGTAAATATATTATTAATTAGTCTACTAGTAACTATGCTTTTTTTTGTTGTTTTAGGATGAAGCAGATTATTTATTTTTTGTTCTGGTTAAACCAACTAGTTTACAGTGCTTTTCATTTTTTATGGCAATAATAGTTTTTTTCTTAATGGCTTTTTTCTTACAAACCTTTCAATTTTGATTAAAATATTAATCTCTGATATAATATTACTTATGTTTTGATCTGAATATCAGGTAGTAAGTGGGATTTTATGTAATATGAACTGGTAAAGAAAATTGTATCTATCCTGATTACATTTATCCTATTTTTGCTTATAGAGAATCAGTTGTTTTCTGTATTCATTGGATTATAATAATAGTATAGATTTGTTTAATATTGTCTTTTTGTTCCAGTTTCTTTGTTTTTCCTTATAACTTTATATATGTTTGCTTGCAACTTTGAGGATTGTGTCCTGGAGGGTGTTTCAAATCTATCAATATCTGATTTTGTCTGAAATATATATGTTTTAATAAATTTTTGTAGAAGTCTAAGTTTTCTACAAAGACTTTTCATTGTTCTTCTAATGTTCTCTATTAATCAAAATGTAGATGGTGGAATTGCTTTGCAGTATTCTCTAGCTCCTATGTTTTTATATAAGTAGTTTGGATTTTGTAGACTAGTCAAATTGTAACATTCAGCTATCAAATTATTACTGAATTTGAAAAAATTTAATAATAAAAATATTAACAAATCTTTTAAGATTGCTACTACTTAACATTAAAAATATCAGCAAAAAATTAACAAAAAAATATTAGCATATTGCAACAAAAAAATTTAGTACAAAATCTCAATAAAAATTTTTTTTGTATACTATAGCAAAAAAAATTTTGCATACTGTGATAAAAAATTTGACAAAAAATTGATATTACAGTAAAAAATTCAGCAAAAAAATTACTGCAGAAAAAAATTCAACAAAAAATTGATATTGCAGCAAAAAATTTAGCAAAAAATTTAGCAAAAAAATTACTGCAGCAAAAAATTCAAATTTTATGAAATTTATTAAAAAATTATAAAATTAATTGAATAAATTATTTATTATTTTTCACTTCTTTCTTTTTCTTCTCTTTCACTTTCTTTTCTTTTCCCTTTAAAGATTTTGATTTGTCTCTTTTAAAACTAGACTCAATTGATTTTACCTTGTCAAATATTTTTTAAAATTTTTTGCTTATTTCTTTTAATTTAACTGCTCTTGAATTTTACATATTCATGTATATCAAGAAATTTTTTTGGCAAAGATCTTCAGAGATTTTTGGACGTAAAACTCTGGCACTCTGTTATCATTAGAAGTCTCTGGAGTGGAGATTTATATATACAACTCTAGAGATTTTTGAATGTATTAAATTGTAATAAAATAATTTCACATTATTACTCAAATATTTATTTTTAAAAATTTATTTATTGAAAAATATTTTTTTATATATTTTTATTAATCAATTACATTTACATCACTCATTGTTAAAATAGATCTTTCTATTTCTACATTTTCCAATTGCAATCCCAGATCATTTTCATCATTTTCTATAATTTCTTCTGCTACCTGGATCATTATATATC